TGCTGAGGCTCAGGCGGGAGGACTCCTCCTCAGCACAAGCTTGCCTGACCGCTACTGACATACCAAATACATTCTCTGTAATCTCACTACTTCTTATGTGGCATCTTTATTGTTTCCTAATGCAGTGTCTCCTGTGCCTCATCTGAGTGAGGGCTGCTCTGGTATCTATCATGGAAGGTTCCCCTCTTCTCAAGACTCCCCCCATCAAATGCCAAAGAAATTACAAAAAAACACCTCCTGTTGAGCTTATGTACAACTTTGAGAATAACATAGCTAGTGTCATGCTTAAAAGGGATGGATACTTCCTCACAGAGTGGTGAGATTTCTTCGTTGTTTTGCTTGAGACATCTCCCCAGTCCATCTTTTGAGTCTGTTACCACAAACCTGCCTTGAAAGGTTAAGCTTTCACCCCAGCCAAGTCAAGTCAGACAACTGGGAGGGGCAAAGAGGAAGAACCTTGAGAGCTTTACAGAAAAGTCTATCTCCTATATATAGCGGACAACCAGGAAGACTGATCTGGACCTGGGACTATCGGCTCTTAAGGCTGTAAGAAAGAAAAACATGTAACATACACACCTGTGTATACACAGATGCACACTATGTTGTAGCTGAAAAACATTCATCTATAATTGCTAAATGTTAATTTTGATGTGTTCCTTGTTTTACTGTTTAAGATCTTATGTCTAACTTTGCATTTTGGAATAATAAACATTTTTTTTTTTACATTTCATTGGACTTATTTTTCCCCCAACACTTGCTTATTATAACCTTGAATTCCTGCGACACTGCAGCATTCCCTGTCACAACCTTTACTAAGATAAAGCAATTATTTGTTACACATTCACCTTCTGCAATACAATTAAAGCAACATAGTTATGACTCAAATTGTAGCTACTGCTCTTTATGCTAGAATGAGGATTTTTGCTTCTCATTTATACCATTTATTGAAGAGGTCTGAGAGACCCAATGCACATTCATAGATTAATGTACAACTTTCAAAGCCTGTATCAACAGTCTTGTATTTCCAGTTTAATATTATCATCATGAAAGTAGACAATCCAGACATTCACACAGGATCTGGTGGAATCATCCACCAGGAACGAGCACATGAGCAGTTCACAGTAATGAGGGCACGAACCACGTGAATTTTCCCTTTTGATTTAGGATAACTTGATTTGCATGGATTGTGCAAGTGGTTTCGCCTTTTGGACCTCTATCCTTGCCAGGGTTTTTTTGCTGTGTTAGTGGCTAACTGAGATGATGTCCACTCTTCCAACAGGAGATGATATTGCTGTGACGTTCCTGCCAGTGGCCACTATTAAATCCTGCGTAGTCTGTGTGCTACAGCGCAGGGTCAGACTCCAAGAGGAGTAAACAACACTATTCCCTAGAACAAGAGTACTTCCGTATGGAGGTCAAAAGTGGTAACAGTTCTGTAAACCAAACTGATTGCACTAGAACGATATAAAATTATTCCATTAGAAACTGGGTTAATTAAAGTTTAACTATAGTAAAAAAAGAGAGTATTTTTGATTCAGCTATTATGTAAACAGGACAGACAACCCCCCCTAAATAACAACATTTATAGCAAAAGAACAATGGACTGCTTTAAAAAGGACTTTTCCCAGTTTGCTTCCACACTTCTTTGGCTCCTTTAATGCTTTCTCTTTTCACACACTTCCAGTAACCTTGAATGCCTTGCTGTTGCGGTACCTGTTAATAAAGTTAAGGTATGTTTAGTATTTACACAAAAAAGACTCTTATTCACAGACTGAGTAAATATAATATGTAATGCAATGCTGCTGCTCCCATAGTTCACATGCGTAATAACAAGTTCTTGGTGGCAGCACTCCTCCCAGATTCATAAGCAGTAAGGAATCTTCAGTTTAAAATATAACTTGTTTCTATTCACTATCTCTACTTGTGTTTCTACAGGCGTTAACAAGACAGTTGTAGCAATCATCTGTGGTATTTAAAAACAATGATGTCAGCTTGTTACCCTCAAACCTCGATGAATACGGTTCCTCAGGACTCCAAGAAACTCGCCGTGGCTCAGGCAGTCATCCCCATCTAGATCAAAAATCTTGAAGATGGTATCCAAAACATTATCTGAGAGCTCCTGTCCTGTTGCCACCTTCACTGCCCTCTTGAACTCAGCTAGTAAAGACATAACATCACATCATAAGTGACTGCGAACTTGTAAAGAAATTTGAAAGCACATAAATAGCAGGATTCTGTACAATTTACAATGTCTCATGGGTATCCTAACTGAAGAATTTGGGATGTGTGAACTAGTAAACTATTAGGAGGCCACAGTTCATGTGTACTTGAGCTTGCTTCATCTTTCACAACACAATCTTTATTAATTGTATGATAAACTTTTGAAATGCACTACTCAAGAAACAGTTAAGAGTGATAGTTTTTGCTAGAAATAGCTGCATGCTGAAAACTTACGTACTTTTGGTTGATACCTGTGCATATGGATGATAAGTGTTTGCCTCACTACGGTCTCATAAAAAATGCTACCATTTTATCTCAAACCAGTTTCATGCCAATTCATTCTGCAAGAAAACTGTTCTCCTCAGAGAACAGTATTTTACGATATGCTCCACCTCAACCAACAATCCCCTCAGCAACTCTGTAGAAACACAGACCATCAAATATTCAACGCACTGTTTACAGCACATGGCTTTACATACCTGTAGTTCTGATTTTTAAAGAAGTAGGCTACCTTCTCTTAAATTATGATGGAAGAGTTTATGAGGATTCATGGCAGAAAAAGCTGTCATACCTCTCTGGAGATTTACTTTCCTCTTCAGCTTTTTGGCCGTCTCTCTTTACAGTACCGTATGTATCACAGTAATACTTACTATCCCGACTTTTCGTTCTGTGGTGTAAAGAATTTGGAGTTTTGACTCAAGGAAGATGAGGAAATGGGTGGGGTTGCCGTAAAACAGCAGATAGTAAGAGTCAAATGATTATTGTTTATTATAGCAAGCACAATCACAACACATGAATTGGATGCATTTTTTAAGGCATCACACGGAAGTGTGAATTTCAAAAAGGGACTGGAGGTTATTAACGTATAGCAGTATTGTAGATTATTATAGCAAGTTGTCCAACTAAGTCATAAATATAGTAATAATGTGGTTCTGCTTTCATAAACAAGTGCTGTTCATAAACAGCACTATAAATATGATTAGTTCTGAAGCTTACTAGAGGAAAGAGCACTCCTGACTTAGCTCTCATCTTTGCCTCTTTGAACAACTCCTGTGTAAATGCAGTTGATTAATCTACAGTTGGTTTAAATATAGTTAAGTTGAAAATCCTTCTGTAAAAGGATATACCGCAATTTGACAAGGACATGAAATATGGGATGCTTATAGTAGAGTCTTAATTTTATCTTTAAAAGATGTTAACTGTTTTAGCTCTTGAAACTAAATATAAATCCAGTCATGGCACTGCAGTTTTTTGAACAGAACATGAAGAAAAGGAGAAAGATCTTCTAAAATGGTGGAGCATAATAATCTTCAAACCAAAAAGGGCCACCTTATCAGAGGGAAAAGATGAGCTGCTAACTTAGAAGAAAAAAAAGTATAGAATAAAAGGAAGGACTAAAGGACTGTCTTATTTTTAGATAAATATTCTCATGTGTGTGAATACACACATGCAAACAGCAAGACAAAGAACTTAGTGAGATTCAGGAAAGGATTAGACATGTATACATGTAACATCTGTGAGTTACCTCAGGAGCTGACTGCTTTCGATCACAGTATGGTTCAGTGCATAAAGAGAGTCACAACTGCCTGTTGGTTAGGAATGAATTTTTACAAGGAAACATTACCAGAGTCAACACCAACTGCTGGCCTCATCATCCTTTGGCACTTAAAAATGGGATACTTAATAGAGAAGTGAGCTAAACTCTTGTATCTCACTTATGACTATTATTTCACCATTAATTCATCCTCTTGCCTCTCCATTCTTTGTACACCTTGTGCAAATAAAATCTGTCTCCCCCGCCTGCAGAAGAAAGATGTTGTCAAACCAGACAGAGGAGGGCCACAAACCCAGCTGGGAACTGGAGCACATGATGGAGGAAGAGAAACTGAGGGAGCTGGGGAGAACAGAAGTGTAAGGAGGGATCTCGCTGCAGCCTTCAACCACCTAAAAGGGGTTATAGAGAAGAGAGCGCCATATTTTTCTCAAAGGTGCATGAAGGTAAGACACAACTGTTCTAAGTTGCAGCAAGGGTTTGACACAGAAAAGTCTTCATGATGACAGTGTGACAGTGGTTAAGCACTAGAACAGCCGCCCGGAGAGGCTGTGGAAACGAAACTCTTCCTGAAGGCTGGATTAACTAGTGATGAAAGTCACAAGTTGTAACCACCCCCGCCCCCCCCCAAGTTTTGGCTTTCCTTGGTTCAAACAATCTTCACATTTCTCTCTCAAGAATACTGAATTCTTTTCCTGTCTTCTCACATCTCTCTCCCCTTTTTCACATGAGCCCATCAAATATTTATTTCAATGAATGTTAATGCCTCATCAAATTTCCTTAGGAACTTTTTATGTTACTATGTTCAAATAACTTATGAGAGCTGTCTTTGAAGTATAACAAGTAAGTAACCACCTCAGGATTATAACAAAAAGCATTTGTATGTCCGTGAAACTTTTGTTGCATTGCTCCTATTTCTACTGTATGGGAAAGAAGCAACTTCCCTCCTCCAAATTTTTATTTTAAAAACCACTTTACTACACTGTTTGTCTTTCATTGCCATGATTGCATAACGCTACATAAGCACATGGAGAAGGCAGTATGGAGACATAAGTAAAACACAGCAAGATGCTACAGACCCTGCAAAAGAAGAAATTTCTATTGTTCAGTTTCCTCAGAAAACTAGTTTCACTATGAGGAATGTTACCATGAACTGCTACTGAAGCATGTGTTGTTTCAATAAATCCTTCCTAATCTAGAATTTAGATTGGACTGAGAGCAGCCCCATGGAGAAGGACTTGGGGATACTGCTGGATGAAAATCTGGACATGAGCCCACAATGTGCGCTCGCAGCCCAGAAGGCCAATCGTATCCTGGGCTGCATCAAAAGAAGCGTGGCCAGCAGGTCGAGGGAGGTGATTCTGCCCCTCTCTGCTCTGGTGAGACCCCACCTGGAGTACCGCGTCCAGCTCTGGGGCTCCCAGTACATGAAAGACATGGACCTGTTACAGAGGAGGGCCACAAAAATGATTAGAGGTCTGGAGCACTTCTCCAGTGAAGAAAGGCTGTGAGAGTTGGGGTTATTCAGCCTGGAGTAGAGAAGGCTCTGGGCAGACCTTATTGTGGCCTTTCAATATATAAAGGGGGCTTATAAGAAAGATGGGGACAGACTTTTTACCAAGGCCTGTAGTGACAGGACAAGGCGAAATGGTTTCAAACTGAAAGACAGTAGATTTAGACTAGACATAAGGAAGAAACTTTTTATGATGAGGGTGGTGGGACACTGGAACAGATTGCCGAGCCCCATCATTGGAATTGTTCAAGGTCAAGTTGGATGGGGCTTTGAGTAACTAGTGAAAGATGTCCCTGCCCACGGCAGCAGGGGGTTGGACTAGATGATCTTTAAAGGTCCCTTCCAACCCAAACCATTCTATGATTCTATGGT